GGGGGGGGGGGGGGGGGGGGGGCAAAGATGCTATGAGGAAAACGCCATTTTTTTGCCGCGGCTGTCAGATTTTTAGACATGTCCACACGAGTGGAGGATGATTTTTGATCGCCGATTCCCGAGCCACGGTCCCAATTTTTTCCGACCCTCAAGTAAGTTTCAAGAAGACTTGCCATACCTCCTCATCCGGCGTCCTCACCCACGATCCACCTGTTTTGTCTTGAAGGAGTTCCGAAGTCTTTGCGATGAGCATACGAGCCGCTTCGTGTCGAACGCTGCTCGAAAGAGCGGCGTCGCCGTCATCTCGGACGTTTCATTCTGCATCTGCGTTACTGGCCAGCCACGACACATACAGCAGCGGCGCCACCAAAAGCAAGAAGCAAAACCAGCGGCGCAAGGAGGACAGGGTTTCAGACACACTGCTCACTGCGTCTCGACTTGGAGCTCAGGCTGCGCGGATCGACAGGGCTACTTCCGACCGCTTTTCGGGATGGAAGCCGACGCCGGGACCGAGCTCGCGGCGCAATGCGGGGCGGCCGCCACTCTCACCCGATGCAAGGAAGAGTCTGGCACGCGCCACTTCACCAAGCAACCTCGAGCATCTTCTGGGTGCACATTCGAATGCGGTGCTGACCGAGTCGCTGACGGATGTAGACAGTGCAAGACCAGGCGCCAAGATCTCGGCACGCGACTTTGTCATGCCCCGCAGAGACCTCAGACCAGGCGACTTTGTCGAGATTCGACGCAACGCCCCCACCATAGGAATCGTTCTACCCGTGCCGGAAGATGACATGCCCACAGAGAAGGATGCGGACGATAGGAGTAAGAAGGTCGTGGCTAGGGACCTGTACGTGCTCGTCACTACGGGCTCTGTCGTGCTGTACAGGGATACAGACGTTATGTTCCAGATTCCCAACGTCATCGAGCCTGAGCTCGTACAGGCTGCAGCCCCGACTAGCAGGAGATTCGTCGTCACCACCAACAGTCACGAGTCGCCCGTGGACACCGATGGCAGCTACGAAGATCACTCGGCGAGCGCAAGTGCAGATGCCGATCCGATTGACGGTGCCGCGCTGCAGGAAGAGCCGATCGACCAAACGCGCTTCGAGGCACGCGCAGCGATCTGCGCCAAGATGCGCATCCTCGAGCGCCAGAAGGAGCGAGAATTGCAGCGGTTGCTTCCAAGCTTCCAGTCACTATTCCTCGTGCCTGGTGCTTCGCAGCAGTCGCGCGAGGTGGCGAAACTCAGGAACAAGAGGACCGACCTACGCACGGGAACCATCACCACCTACGAGGCGGCCAAACTCATGCAGGAGCTGTATGAAATGCGGGCTTCCAGTGCTCGGGACGGCAAGAAGAAGATGGGTTCCCGGGACCCCGCGCCGTTTACGGCAAGCACCGTGTACGCCGCGTATGCGTTGCTCATTGAGCAGCCATCGCATTTTTTGGCGGACGGACTGTCGCACCGCAAGAGTCAGCTCTTCAACTGCCGCAGCGAAGCCGAGCGTGCCAACCTGGATACGATCACCGGCTGGATTGTCGCTCCTCCGATCTCTGAAGGCCAAGGCTTCATCGACTCCTTTTGCCGCAAGGCAAGCAAGGTCCGCAAATGGTCCGAATCGCAGCAGTACGATATGTCCGGCGCGCCGAGGGTCATTGAAACGCCCGAACCACTCAAGGACGTAGAGTGGACTGCGGAGGACAGGGCAATCATCGAGTTTTTGCAAATCAGTCTGGGCTCGCGCCGTGAGTTGCAGGCCGACACTCACGGCAGCATCGCCAGCGAGATCATCAAGCGTGCCGGCGGACATTTCCGTCTGCTGCCGCATCCCAACACAAAAGAGCTGCTGGGCCTCGACGAGGCCGCGCGCATGCTCCTGACCGACAGCGAGCAGCTGCTCGGCAGGGCGATCCTCGAGACGGTCGGCACGGATCTAGCGGGAGGGGTAGACCTGCAGCACGCGCTTGTGACGCGGTTCTTGACTGAGATTGGTGCGATCCCGCCGTGGCGGAACCCGACTCGACTCGACGCGACCTTCCGCAGCGCAATGATGAGCGATGGTGGCGGCGAGCCCGAGCGCGATCCGACGGAGGCCGAACTAGCCCAGCCAACTGTGGTGGATAGCAAGAGCATCGCGAAGAAATTCGGCGTGTCTACGGACGAGCAGGTGGAAGCGATCCGACACGATTTTGGCAGGCACCATCCGGTGTATGTTATCGACGACGAGACAGCGTTCGAGCTGGATGACGGCGTGTCAGTCGAATCCGTTCCGGGAAGGGAGAAAGAGCAGGCATGGGTGCATGTGCACATTGCCGATCCAACGGCGTGGATGCAGCCGGGTGACAGCCTGGCTAAGCGTTCCGAACGCCGTTTCTCGACGCTGTACTTCCCCGAAGCACGCTGGGCGATGCTACCCGACGACTTTGTCCGTAGCGGCGTTGGTCTTCGCTCCTCATCCTCCTCCGACTCAGGAGACCACTCAGAGGGTCAGCGCGTGATGACCTTCAGTGCGCTCGTCGACCTTTCCTCCGGTCTCGTTCAAGACACCAAGGTCCGTCCAGCATTCGTACACGACGTCCAGGCGATTACGTACAAGCGCGCGAGCGAGCTGATTGCCGGCGTCCCGCCTGCGGCGTCCGAAGCACGTCGTGCGGCGGATCTCTCGTTGCTGAGCCTGGTGGCGACGCGACTGAGCGAGAATCGCACGCGTAGCACGGCGTTGTTCCCGCACAGGCCCACGTCGTCGGTGAGCGTGTCGCCGCTGCCGCTGCCAGACCTGCCAGCATCGGCATCAGCATTGCAGAGGCCGTATTTCTTTGCCGGCTTCCCGCAGATCAGCCTGTCATCGCGGGCAATGGACTCGCAGCAGGGCAAGAAGGACGATGTGCCAGCGATGGCGAATTTCGTGGTGGCCGAATTCATGGTCCTCGCCGGACGAGTCGCGGCGGCATACGGAGCTGAGCATGGGCTCGCGATGGCGTATAGGTATCAAAATGCACCGCAGACACGGTCGGTCACCGAGGAGCTTCTGGCGATGCGCACCAACATGCCGGATCTGAGCACAGTGGGGGCTCCTCCTGTATCGCCGATTGATGACAGCGGGTTCATCGCACACGGCTTGGTTCCGTATGACGACCTGATCCAGCGCGGTATCACGCTCGGCTCTGGTGGCTATTCGGTGCGATCTGCTCCGCACTTCTCGCTCGGAATCACCGCGGGTACAGAAAGCCCGTACGCCCCGCTGCCGCACATGCGAGATGCTCTCACAAATGGAGGCTACGTGCGCACAACTAGTCCGCTGCGTCGCTATCCGGACATTCTGGCGCACTGGCAGCTCAAGCACCATCTGGTGCGTGGCAAGCCGCTCTTCGGCGAGCACGACATCGAGCGCCTCCTCCCGCAGTTGGAGAGGCAAGAGATGAGCGGCAAACAGCTCATGCGCATCTCTGAGCGTTTCTGGCTCCACTTGCTGCTCCAGCGCTCCACTCTGGGCACGCATTCTGAAGCGGGCCTCCTCAATCGTCCGTTGACGGCGATCGTCGCACTGTCCGAGGTGCGAGTCAACCTTCAAACTCTGTCCGCGCGCGTGCGCGTGCACATCGAGGAACTCAACCTTCCCGCGGACCTCGAGTGGGAGACGGACGGACCGCTGCCTGAAAGCGGCAAGTCGTACAAGGTCGAGCCTGTCGCCGTCAGCATGGCTGGCATCCGCGCTGCTCTTCTTGTGCGCCGCGTATGAGACCGTTTCCCCCGATTTGTACTTTGTTCGCAACATAGACACGACTCCACCGCAATTTCCAGGATCCCAGCGTCTTCTGGTGACAGGCTCGCCTGAGCATCGAACCATTTGGTACGGTGCCAGAGACGGTTCGAAAGGCTGGCTGCACTTGGTGAGCATTAGGCGTCAACTGAACGAAGGGAGGATTCACTGAGAGCGTGACCTTGGCGGGTATACTGAACGGAACAAGGAGTAAGTGAGGGCGGCCGAGCCGAGTCTATACGTCGAGCTACCAGTCGTGCAGGAATGCAAGGGTCAGCACAGGTAGCCACATCGGCGCCGTTGCGCAGGTCTGAATCGGACTCACGTAGATGAGGAGAGGCTCGCCTGGGCCTTTGATCTCGGGGATGGTGCACTTGAGATCGAAAGCTTTGGCGAGGAGGACCTTGAAGATCTTTTGGACGTTGATGGCATGGCTGGTGGAGCAGAAGATGAGTGGAGCCTTCATGGCTTTGGAGAAGCGCCTTGCCTGCTTTGTGATCTCGTCTTGCTCTTCGCGCGGGAGCGTGGCATAGTGGTCGTATTTGGTACCAACGAGGAAGGGGATAGCGGTCTTGTTGAAGCCACGCGCCTGTCGATACCACTCTTTGATCGAATTGAGAGTCGATTTGCGTGTAAGATCAAACATGAACAGGATGGCGACCGCGTCGTTGCTGTTGAGAGATGGTGCAACGTGATCAGCAGGGGTATTCGGAGAGGAAGGCAGTCTGGCAGAACGCACCATACGAGCGGGAGCATGTTGACGAACTCGCGCTGTCCGCCAAGATCCCAGATGGAGAAGGTGATCTCGGTATTGCGGATCGAGATGGTCTTTTCCATAAAGTTGACGCCGAGCGTCTGAATGTAATCTTCGTTGAAGCTGCCTTCGACGTAGCGGACCATCAGACTTGTCTTGCCAATCTGTGAGTCGCCGACCATGCCGACCTTGAGAATGACACTACTTTGCGAGAAAGAAGGACGTTGATTAGAATGCGACAACTGAATCGGCCCAAGGCCGGCGCAAGGCGAACGCAGTGACAAAACCTACCTCGACTTGTCGGAGTTGCCGCCGCTGCCAGCATCCTGGCTGCTAGAGGACAAAGCGGCCGACATCCTGTCGACTCCGAGGCGATTCGAACCGGTCTCACTTGTGCAGTCCTGCCAAACGAGAACGCCTGGGGTTCCGACTGGTTGGCAGGGCGTCGATATCGAGAGCGCCCCCGCCTTTCCGGACGGTTTGCTGCGAAGCGTTCAGGTCGTTGGAGCGGCAGAGGCAGCGCTGTCTTGGGAGGAAAGCGATGGACGAAGAGTTGCGGAAAGACGTCTTGGCGCCAGCGAAGATGACACCTTGATCGGTCTCTGCCCCGCCGTTGCGCAGCATGAGCGCTAGCGCTTGGGCCCGAGACCAACACTTTTGCGGCGTTCGGTGGGCGCGTGTGTGGGTTGCGCGCGTCCGTCACACTCGAGCCTCTCAGCCTGAGCCGGTGCAGCACGTCCAGGCGCCCTTTCATGCTTGCATGCAGAACACGCCCCGAGAAATCACAATTCCGCGCTCATCACCGATACAGCTACATCAGAGACTGGACTGCCCGATCGAAGTCACGTCGCTGGTCCCGACTAGCTCGGAATCACTCCACCGTCGAGACTCTTCCTTTCCCATCGATCATCGCCCCGAACACTCGAGAGAGTCACCATCCCGCACAAAAGACAGAGCGAGGCACTCAGCGAGCTCATCAGCATTCCCGCTCGCACAGCACAGGCGATCACCGCCGCCCCGTGACTTCATTATTCGGCTTTCCAGCGTGGATCTCATTTCATCCAGACGCGCAATCTCGTCACAGCCACAGTTCAACAAGCATTTCTTCCGCTGACCCGCACTTTGCCACCGAGCAGCAGTGCAGACAACATGCCGGCCGACTACGATGCACTCTCGGACGGCAGCGAGCTTACGGGCGAAGACTCTGCCTCGGACCACCACCGCGAAGAGGACGACGACGAGGTCATGGCCTCCGCCCCGCGCACACCTTCCAAGAAGCGCCGTCGCATCGTCCGCGCAGTAGAGGACGACGACGAGGATGAAGATGAAGTCGCAGACGCCCTCGAGGATGATGCCGACCAGCTTGATGACGACGAGGAGGAGGAAGACGAGGTAGAGAATGACAACGACGAGCTTGACGAGGACGACGAGGACTACGACGCGCCCTCTACCTCCCGGGCGCGGCCGTCGCGCACGTCTGGGCGACAATCGGCATCCTCGTCTCGCGGATCAGGCACACCTAAGAGGGCATCTCGAACGTCCACTCGCACTGCTGCCATCGAGACACCACCCGCCAGCACGGGTGCGAAGAAGTCTTTGCGTGTCAAGCTCACCCGCACGCCGAACGCTGCGTCCGCCCCTGCGCCCGAAGCCTCCCCCGCCCCCTCGAGCCGTCCAACCCGTGCAGCAGCCGTCGCTCCAGCTTCGCGCCGCGCCAAGGACTCGACCAAAGTCAAGTGGAAGCCGCGCGGCAAGGGCAAAGACTCGGACGTGGACGACGACTCGATTCGCACTCCTGACGAGGACGAACTCGACGACGAAGAGCCGGACATTTCTCGCGCCGTCACTGCCGATCCGGACGACTCTGGATCTGACTCGGCCTCCGAGCCGGACGAGGCGACTGCTGCAGAGATGCAGGCGATCATCGGCAAGACGGCGCGCCAGCTTGCGCGCGAGGGCGGTGTCGAGTCCGAACACCTGGAGCTGCCCATGTTTGATCCGAACCGCAAAAAGAAGCTCACCGAGAACGAGATCGCTCTGCGCCGAAGCGAGACGGCGCGCAAGAGGAAGAACCAGGTGGAGAAGAAGCTCGAAGACGACAAGGTCGAGACGATCAACAGGCTGCTCAAGAAGCAGGTCGGCAGGAGTCGTAACAAGCTTCCGCGTGCGGGCAGTGCCGAAGACTCGGACGACGAGGCTGAACAAGCTCGTCGCCGCGGACGCGAAGAGCTCTCGCGTAAGGCGCTCAAGGAGATGCCTGCTCCCTTCTTCAGATGCATCGACCGTGCCGACGGCAAGATCCTCGCGGTCCCCTCCGGTCCACCGCTAGTGGAGGAGGTGTGGGGTGCGAACTATGTACAGGTCAACCAGGCGCTCATTCAGGAGGTGGACGTCGACCCGAGCGCGATGGCAACTTCGGCGAAAGCTCGCGAGCTGGAGGAAAAGGCCAAGCAACGCTTCAAGCAGCAGCGCGAGCGCTGGGACGACGACCAGACGCTCGAACGCGTCTGGGGTCAAGAAGGGCTGTACGAGTACAAGCTGCGCGCTGCCCTGGGTCAGACGCGGCGCGATTGGATCGGCAACCGACGCGCACCCACGCCTGAAAACGACGCGCAGTCCGAGGACAAAGACGACGAAAAGGACGACGACGAAGCAGACCAAGATGCCGATGCCGCAGACGAAGACATGGATGCTTCCGAACAGCCGGATGACGCCGAGTCGAAATGAAGCGCACTCTGTCGTATGCAAAGGTCAATCTTCACTCGCCTTGAACACCGTGACTACCGGTCAGATCCGAGCAGGAGTCTCCGGAACCGTCTCTGAGAAGCCGCCGGTGGTCGCGATGAGGAAATCCTCCGGTTGAATGGCCGATTGACTCTTGATGCGGCGATAAGCCGGGTCCAACATTGACGCCGTGCCAGAACGACATAAGTCGACCTGCTTCTGAGCGGCTCTTTGAAGCAAGTGTATGTGGCTCTGACTTGGCGACGATCTCAGCGAACCTTTCCGGACAGCCTAAGCGCGGAGCTGGGCTGACGCTGTGCAGATCACCATTTCGAGTCGACAGCGCCGTCAAGAGCGGGATCAGGTGGGAGAGTAGAATGCGGACAGGGTTCAGGGCTAGGGGTCAGCGGAACGTGGAGCTCCAGGAGGACTCGTGGCAAAGGTGAGGGTATGGAAGAGAACTCGGGTTTTGGATTGTGCAGCCACTTCGTCCCGCCTTCGAAGCACAGGACGCCTCGGGCACTTGCGTGCTTGGTCTGATACCGAACGCAACCCCATCCACAGGAGCAGCGACAAATGACCGTTGCGGACAAACAACGTTGGCGTCGAGGAAGTCTCAACGTACTCTGACGGACAGAGACCACACTGATTCCGAGCCGCCCTAAGACTCTCTCAGATCCAGCGTCGGTTCATGCGATCACTGCCCGACTACGATCTTCTAAGCGGTCGGTATCGCACGCCTCTTGACATCGCCTCAACGCAGCGCAGGTTCTGCACAACATCACCATTGCAAGCATACATCATGAAAAACGTTGCTCGATATTGGATACTGAGTGCGGATGCCTGGGTACTACTACAAAAAAGCCGTTGGACGGGGCCAGGCCTCTACTCCACGAGGTGCGTGAACGAGGAGGGAGGAAGCCGACTGGATGCGGGAGACGATGATGCGAAGTTTGCGATGGTGGTACATGGATAGATAGTCAGATGAGAGGCAGGACGAGTTGATGTGCTGCAGTAGAAGGATAGTTGCGATCGACGAGTTGCGCGATCAGAGAGATTGGAGAGGGGTCATGGCAAAGTGTGCCAGCAGTGGTGGATTGGCAAGACCAGCGCAGAGCCAGGGCCATCCATTGCCGCGATGCACGACCAAGGAGGAGAAGAGAGGAAGAGCGCAGGACGCGCCAACGGCTGGAGAGCAATAGTCTTCGAGAAGGGACCAAGGACAAGGAAAACGGAGCCGGTCTCGACGGAGCCAGTAGGTATGGGTTTTCTTGCGTAGTCTTTGTGCGCGTTGCCGGGAACGGAGCGGAGCTAGAGCAGAGACGGGCCACGGTTCAGGATTCGGAGGCAAAGGCGGTATGCGGGCAAGCGCATGAGGAGCGGCTGCGTGCAGCAACAACGAAGGAAGTGATCATCAATGCCCGTCGCGCCTGGAAGTCGACGGGCGATCAGTTGCCACACGTAGCCGCTCCTCATGCACTTGCCGCAACCGCGTTCGAGACCTTCGGCGCCTTTGCCTTCTTGCTCTTCTTCTTGTCCGACTCGGCCCGGGGCGGCAGAGCCTCTTCCCAGACCTTCTCGTTGAGGCCCTTGACGTCGCGCGTGTGCGAGCGGGCAGAGTCCTCAGCCGCGCGCATGGTCGCCTCGAAGGCCTCGGCACCCAGAATCTTGCGGAGCTCGATCTCGTTCTTCTTCATCCAGAAGACGGGAGGGAGGGTGCGCATCATCTTCTCGCTGGCGGCAAAAACGGCGCGGTGACGCATGGCGGGCGCCTCTGGGTCGTCGCGGAGGTCAGACTGCTTGGTGTTGGGCTGCATGGCGTCCTTGCGGTTGTACTCGAGGCGGGCCATGCCGGGCGACAGACATTGCACGAGGTAGAAGATGTTCTCCAATGGCTCGGGGGTGTCGAGGATGACATTGGGGTCTCGGTCGCTGTTGTCGCCGTCGCCGTCGACGCGCACCTTCCAGATGAACTCGTTGTCGAGCTTGTACGACGGGGCGTTCTCCTTGCGGCGGCGGAGCGTCTTGCGCTGCTTGCCGTCGTCGTTCTCCTCGGTCTTCTCCTCGTCCGCGGGGCGGCTGGATCGGTGGAAGTCGATGAACTTCTTGGGGATCCTGATGTACATGAAGCCGTCCTCGGTGAAAGCGCCGTGGGGGGCGTTGCGGCGGAGCACGTAAAGCTCGGTACGAGCCGAGTCGGTGCCCGCCCAGCCAGAGGTCTCGAGCTTCTGGCGCTGCTCGAGGATGAAGGGCCTAGCCTTCTCCCAGGACTCGCGAGTCCAGGGCTTGGAGACGTGGTTCAGACGGACCATCTTCTTGGCCTCGTCCAAGACCGCATCAGAGCTGTCGAAGATCACGCCGCAGTCCTTGGGGCCCTGGTGAGTTGGAGAGCGGAGCAAGTACGATTGTCAGTACAGGGGAACATTTTCGGAGAGGACGGCAGGCCATGGGGATGAGGATGAGGGGATGTCAGGTGGCAAGCACTACTTACTGCATTGGTGAGGTCGACGGCCTGCTCCTGGTTCTTGTTCTGCTTCTTGCCCATTTTGGCGGGAGGAGATATGAAGGGAGGGTGGGGTTGAGAGGGGGGGG